GTGACTAAATTAGTAACCATTATATTACCGTCTAAAAAAATGTTGTCAATAATTAATTTTATGAAGGAGTAAGTTGTCAAAGGATGCGCATTTGTATATTCATTTATTGCTTTTTTAATTTGTTTTTGTGTTTAATTTACGATTATTTGTATTTGAGATTCTGCGATTAAATTTATTTTGTTGATTGTAATATTGTGATATTGCATAATTTATTGTAAATGTAATACATGTTTCAGAAAATTATGTAATGTAACGCGATGGAAGTTCTTTAAGCGGGCAATTCCAGTCCAAACCCTGGATACATGACATAAAAGATTTGTTTTCACTTGTTTGCATGAAAAGCATTAATAGATATAAACAGTTGAGCCAATATGATCTCAATCTAAAGCACTCGTACTGACTTGATTCTGAGTTGATGACATCTCCTTTAACGAATGTTTTGACTTTAGGGGCATCATGTTCAAATTCCCTCACAAATTCTTCGTAAACCTTGGCTTGCTTTTGTTCTTCAACCTGAAAAGTCGTAATTTTTGTTAAATGAAGATTTAACCCAAAGTTTCAAGAACTCAACTAAAAGTGAAAGATCTGTTGAAATGTTGTTACATTTACTGTATAATAATAAATGGTAAAAAATATGTAATAACCCGTTTTCGTTCTTCAAGTTCCTCTTTTTTCTTTGAAATAGAACTTTTCTGTCTTACACTGTTCATATTACCCACTGAAAATGCCTTTAATTTCTCGGCAGATATAGTCTGAAAGATTTTGGAAGTTAACATTTGCTTTAACAGCTGGAATCGTTCTTTAATGCAAATTACCCATGTCATTAATTTCTGCCAGTTTAGTTGAAAGGAAATGTACACATAAATAATAAATATGAACAAGTATCTTCTTTATTTTGTACTAATTTTCAGTTATAGCACACAATTAACAGGATATGATAGCAACTAAGGCAGTTAATAAACTCTTAAAATGTAAATAAAAAATAAAAACCTTCATTGATCCAGGGGTGATATTTTCAGGGTTGAGCCCCCATGGCAGCTGTCTTTGTTTTTCCGTTGTCATGATTAAATCATGAGTAGAAATACACCGTCATTAACTAAAAGATACAAAGCAATATTAAGTGGTGTAAATAATTTGCTCCACAATAAGTACATGAATAAAATTAGAATTACTATATGGATAAGCTTGTTACGAAAAGAATATTCAAACAATATACACATAATATAGCAATGGCCAATTGGCTGACTATAAGGTCATGGCCTGAACAAACAATTTTTTTAAATAGTCAAGTGATGCTAAAGCAGAGCACCAATGTGTAATAAGTTAATAGATTAAAAAACTGATTCATGTGATGCATTACGCAGAGCACAGATAAAAATACTGATTCAATGATTAAAATTATAGCTGTGAGTGTCAATAAATTACTGTGTCAATAAATTACTGTGTAAACTCACACAAATTGAATAAAAAAACGTTGTTGATATTTTTCAGTTTTGGGGAATAATCATTAGTTTTAAATGCAAAGCATGCTTAAATCCATAATCAACATAATGTAGTCAGGTCACAAATCATACCAGAACACAATTCATGTTTGACCTGCTACACAGCAGACACATAGCGCTGAAGGGAATCAGAGGAAAATCAATACTCAATAGCCGAGCAAAATAATAATAATAATTCTATACAGTAATTTTGTTTTCCTTAAATACCGTGCTGTAAGTTTGCAAGGCATGTGGACTAAGCCGAGTATACCCAGCTGCAAAACATACATGTCATTTAACCTCATCCCCAAGAAGATGAGCTTTGAGATCTCCAAGACTTGTTGTGTAAATATTCCAGATATTTTCAGGATTTAAAGAAAAGCTAAGTGATTATATTGATTGGTGAAAATGATGCATTCAGCGAAGAGCAGCTTATGATTCTACATCCCGAAATGGTCACAACCCCTTTAAATAATCTTGTTTCTCTAATTCTGTCGAATTTTACATCTCTAACAGTGTAACCGTGGAGGATCCATGAAAACCAATTCAGTATCAGCCACTCACGATAAAGCATGGCGAAGATAAAAAGTATGTTACTTAGAGTCGACTTTAAAAGTATCAAGCATGTGAAAAAACGATGGGAGTAACTATGGATGAGGAATCCACATCAATGATGATACATGAAAACACAGTTAATAATCAAATTACACATTGAAACAAGAAAAAAATCAAGACAAAACTCGAAAATGCAACGATATCACTAAGAAACTTTTTTGAGGAAAATTATTTTAATATTTTCATCATCATATGAAAATAATAGTATTTGCTTCAGCGCTCGATTTTTGTACTACGGTGTAAAGTGGAGAAAATACGCGCGGCGCGAATAAATTTTAAAATAAAGTAAAGTAAAGTGAAGTAAAAATTATGACATAACATCATCACTAATGTCTACGAAGTATCATCACACTACATGGAAAAATAACTATTTCTCCATCAAATTTAAAGGTAATAATTTATCAAATATTAATCACGAATAAAAACAACATTAAAAAATTAAATTTAATCATACTTCCAAGTGGAGTAAAGATTTATAATAAATAAATATATATAGGTTATGATTTGTGATTGTATTGAATAAATTTAAATAAGATCGTTCCATATAATGTATTACAAATTTTATGCTTACAACTTGCACTTAAGTACCAAAAATAAAGTTTAAACTTTAATATTTGATTTGTGATTGTTTGATTTTTATCCAAGAAAAATTTTCAAAATTCATTTCATTTTTTAAATGAAAATGTTAACGGGTGATACTCGTAAAATATCTGTTCCATCCGTCGACGAGTCCAACCCGGCGCACGTCCTGATAGGTTGTAAACTTACAATGAAAATGTTAATTTGTATTGTGTGCAGCTACTTTTAAACTATTTGTATTCACATTTTAGTTGTTGATAAGCGCAAGCCAACAAATTTAAATCATTTACTAATTTAAAAACGTAATTTTTACTGGGCCGCGCGCTCAGCCTGTCATTCCCCCTAATCTCTATTTTGTTCTATTATGTTCATATGTTTATGAACATGATAGCCTGAGGTCCCCAAGTTAAGTAACGTAATTTTTAATATATATAAGCCTAATTTTTTGCCAAAAATTAGTTTTTTGTAATTTATTTAGAAAGAAAACATTTTAGAAAAATAATTATTTTACTTCATTTAAAGTTTTGATGGCTGGCACACGCCAGCCATTCAGCGACAAAAAATGTATTTTGTAATTTACCGTGATTTGATTTTGCTTTACTGGGCCGCGCTCAGCCTGTCATTCCGCCGAATCTCTATTCGGCGTGTTTATGAACATAATAGCCTGAGGTCCCCAGGTAGGGAAAAAGGGACACTTGTAGCGCGATGCACTACTGGGTCGCGCGCGCATCAAATAATGCTTCTCGCAACCGTATGCAGATCGGCGAGATGCGAAGGATTGACATCGTGAATCAAAAGGGACACTGGCAGCGGTCCACTCTACCCATGATTATGGGTTCTGGTCAAATATTGATTACGTAATGTATGAACGACCCCTAAGTCCCCAAATAGTAAAGGGTTCCCCCTTGTGTGAAATAAAAATTTAAAATTTGGTCCTTCAAATATCATAATTTTGCGGTACCAAAATTTAAGCGAGACATTATATTATCTATTTTGTTAATTGTTAATATCGTCCTTTTTACGTCCTTTTTACGCACTTGCGTCTTGCAATGCACAGGATCGAGTCCCAGATACAGCTCGACCTTATCGTGCTGCACAGTGAATTTGTTGTTTTTATTATTTTTGATTCACGATGTCAATCTTTAACTGTTAACTTTGCAGCTCGGTGAGGCCCAGTGGTGCATCTCGTCGATCTACCGAGAAGAATCATTAAATGCGCGGCGCGCGCGGCCCAGTATAGTGCATCGCGCTACAAGTATTATTGATTATTCACACTTTGAGGCAACTTTCAGTACCAAATTTATGAAATTAAAAATTGGAGACAACAAATTCTGTGCAATTTCGCTTGCAGTAGCGTGCGACCGCCGAAGGCGGCATAGGAAACTTGTGAAACAAGCGCGTTACGCAGTACGCGTATACACATGGCTATGTGAATGGCATGTGTATTGGCGCGTAAGGGATAGCATGCAGATTAATTGACGATGTCAATTCATCGCAGCTCGGCACGGCACAGTAGCTGTGAGAAGCCTCATTGAGTGCGCGGCGCGGCACAGTAATACATCGCGCTACAACATACAGATAGTGCTTCGGTTTATCTCGACAACAGACCTGTCAAGTTGCCATGGAGTACATCTGCACTTAAACGAATGAGAAAGAATAAAGATAAAGCATGGGCTGAGTTTGATATTAATCCATCTGATGTTAATTTTAGTTATGCAAGTAGCAAACAACATACTTATGAATTAGCAGAAATTAAAGCTAAAGTTAATTATGAAAAGAAAATTACATCTAATCTGAAGCAGAATTGTAAGTCTTTTTACTCTTATTTACGAAATAAACGTCAAGTTAAGTCTAGTGTGGTTTCTTTAGATAGAGGAGATGGTACACGCACAGATAGTTCGACTGAGTCAGCTGAGGTACTCGCAAGTGCCTTTAGCTCTGTTTTTGTGCGTGAACCACCTGGCCCTCTCCCTAAAACTGAGAATTTAATACCTGACAATGAGAGTATTGATGATATTGATGATATGGAAGTCAACAGTTCTGATATAAAAAAGCAACTTTTAAAGCTTAACATTTTTAAGAGTTCGGGTCCGGATGGTGTTCATCCGAAGTTGTTGAAATCGCTAGCTTATGACAACAATTTTGTTGAAGCAATAACTAAATTATTTCAAAAGTGTTCAGATACAGGATCTTTACCTGCAGTGTGGAAATCTGCATCTGTTGTAGCATTGTTTAAAAAGGGTATTAAATCGGACCCCTTAAATTATAGACCAGTTTCATTAACTTGTATTTTGTGCAAAGTGTATGAAAAGTTGGTGAGAGCACATGTTTTAAATTTTCTAGAACATCGAATTTCGAAGCATCAGCATGGATTTGTTAAGGGTAAATCGTGTTTATCTAATCTTTTAGAGACATTTGATGACATTCTTGACATTTTAGATGAAGGTGCCCCGGTTGATCTTCTATACTTTGATTTTAGTAAGGCGTTCGACACAGTCCCCCACTTTAGACTTCTGTCTAAATTGGAAGGCTTTGGTGTCAAAGGAAAGGTTTTAGATGTTATTAAAGATTTTCTGACAGACAGGACTATGAGGGTTTCTGTAGAAGGACAATGGTCCGAGGTTAAACATGTTTTATCTGGTGTTCCTCAGGGGTCAGTTCTAGGCCCTCTCCTATTCATTCTGTATATTAATGATTTGCCTGACCTTGTAAAAAATAAGATAAAGTTATTTGCTGATGATCTTAAATTAATTGGTAATGCAGCTAACCACGGTAGTGTTGCTGAAGATATCGAAGAATTAGAAGTTTGGGAAAGTATTTGGCTTTTACAATTTAATCCTGCCAAGTGCAAAGTAGTGCACATTAATTTTAACAACAATCCTAATTTAAATTATAAGGTAAATGGTATAGAACTTGAAGTATCTGATCAGGAAAAAGATTTGGGGGTTATTACCCATAGCTCCCTGCTTTGGAACGAACAGATCAAAGCATGTATCGCTAAGGCAAATCGTATGATTTGTTGGATTGTAAGGAATTTAGTTATTAGAGAAAAGGTTGTTATGATTGCTATATATAAAGCTTTAATAAGACCTCATCTTGAGTATTGTGTCCAATTGTGGAATCCACCTGCGGCTCATGGAAGTTGGGGGACTGTTTTGGAGCTGGAGAGCGTCCAGAGGCGGTTTACCCGTCTGATTGATGAGGTGGGTACTCTTCCTTACAGCCGTAGACTGGAAATCCTCAATTTGACAACGCTGGCAGAGCGGCGAATACGTGGGGACCTTATTGAAGCTTTTAAGGTTATTAATGCTATGACTGATTATGGTTCAGACTTGTTCAGACCAAGCAGATCAGGTCTTAATCTGGTTTCATCCAATAGATGTTGTAAAAGTGTGACAAAGGTCAAGAATATCCAGAAGTCTTTTCT